AGGCGTGATTCACGATCTGAATCCTGTTAAATTTGGTATCACGTGATCAAGACTGTCATTCTTTTATCAATCAATAAACGTTAAAATAAAATAACCATACTAACATTTAAGCCAGATTTCAACTTTTCAATGTCTTGATAAGTCAAATCAAATTCGGATTCTACAATGTATAAAATTTTTTTAACATGTAAAACCTTTAAACTCTTCGAACAATATTCGTAATTTAGGGAAATTCGAGTATTCGGATATCAATACCAGCATCATCGTCCTGGTAAGCATCCAAATTATGTTTGATCCGCTTAGCAGTAATAAGCTGCTCACGATGTTTTCTTCGAACTTGCGCGTCAAGCTCGATACGTTTTTGCCTGGCTTCTTCAGGACTCTTGGAAATACTGTTACGCTTATACCTTGCCTTGTGAATTACAGTTGGTGGTGGAGGAGTTGGTTTTGGTGGACTTGAAGATTGAAACATGAATATCTCTCCATTGTTGTGATTTGCATTTGTGAAATCCATGATCGTTAAAAAGAGTGCGCAGCGTGAGAAAAAATAGTGGCGTGATAAATCTCTATTTATATTAATTCGCGTGATATATTTGGAAAATATTTCTCTTCCAAATTACAATCTTTAAATTAGATATCGCATGTGATCTTTAACGTTATTTCGAAGTTAATAGAAACCAAGGCATTTTTTTTAATTGTTTAATAAAAAATAATTCATCAAAAATTTAACAGGCAGAGATGAAATTCATTTTCAAAAATTTTAATTAACTTGTACAAAATTAATTGTTCTCGGGCCAAAACTTTTAAAAATTTTTTATATGATTAAATAATGCATTCAAATTAAATTATAGTCAGACCTCCCTAAATGCAAGTCGTAGAAACCAGACTTTTGATACTTTGCATTTAGAGAATAATAAGAAAAAAATTACATTTATGGGAGTTTGGTATATATTTGTCTGGATTAAAGATTGAGGATGGTTTTCATAACTCGGCCAATTCAATTATTACAATTTATAATCAAATCAAACATCTTGATAGTATGATACTTCATTACAATTAATGTACTCTATCTATTAACTCTCGTTTTGATTGGATACTTGTTTTATAGACAAAATATGTATTTTACAATAGAAAATTTTAGTCTAAAGTAGCAATATCGATATCGAAAATTTTATAATCAAAGCCTTTGAAATTTGGTAAAATGGTTTTCATTTTTGATCGTTTAGCTTTTATATAAAAGTTCGAGTTCAAGTGTGATCAAGTGTTCCACCAACTTTTATTAGAAGCGATTCTGACAGTATATAGTACGATAATAATATTATGTATTTTTTAACTTTTAAAGAGTAATAATTAATAAAAAAATATTTCTTTTGAATAAATGTTTCGAACTTAAAAATTTAAAAAACTCTCCGCTCAAAAAACATACAGACCCTGTGATATTACACAACATCCGAACCCCTGGCAACATAATTACAGAACCTGATGAGAT